TTTCAAATCAATTGTTTAGTGATATTATCGTTTGAAAAATTAGTAAAAAATCTTATCAGTTGTGAGTTTGTGGTGACTTACTTTCAGATTGCTGAAATTATATTTTACTGACATCTAAAGTCAACTGAATTTGGAATAGATTTGAGATAGCTTCTATGGACTGTCAACTTGGAAAGAGATTTCTCACACATGCTTTGTGTGAAAAAGCATTAAGTAAAGCTATTTTTAAAATTATAAAGTTTTGTTTTGCTTTAATATTGCTTACAGGTATGAATACCTGGAGTTAATTAATTAGCATTATTTCTTTTTTGCAGTATTTAGAAGCGCATCTAAAATTTCTGGCATTTTTCTTGCAAGAAGCTACTCTGTATCTGGGTTGGAATCGTGCCAAGGAAATCTGGGAGTGTCTTGTGACTGGCCAGGATGTTTGTGAATTAGATAGAGAGGTAAGAAGATAGTATTATGGATAAAATAGAACAGAAATAGTTAAATATTTCACTTTTTTGTGCGTGTCACCTTTTTTTGTGTCTCTCTCATATCTTTAATTCTAAACACTTTTCAGTTTACGTGAACATATAAAATAGTATAGGCCAGGAACTGTGAGTGCTGAAAAATATTTTATATAATATGTATTCATGATATAAATAAATGTGTGAGTTCTTTGATGATTTTGATACCATTCTGGGTAAAATACCAAATTTAACCAAGTGAGTACAGATAAAGAATTCTAGGCATGTTTTAGTTTTTTTTCCCTCTCATGAAACTTCATGTTACCAGCTGAAAACTTTGAGTTCCTGTAACGATGTTGCACCCCAGAAACACTGAAGAAGAATCAGTGCCTGGACAGATTTTTAAAACTATAATTAAACAGCTGAAAATAGATTAAACCAGTAACAGAACACCTGCTTTGACACTTTCTAAAAGTGAATATCAGTTTCCTCATCTCTTTTTACAGAATAATAGTAACTACTTCATAGGATTGTTGAAAGGACTATGTGATAATACCTAGCACAGTGCCTAGTACATTGTAAGGCTTAATAATGTTGATGTAAAAACCCAAATATAAAATTGAATGAAAAATATGAATATATATTTTTATTATCTAGGGGAAAGATTGCTAGTAACTGCTTTATTTAGTTTCAGAGTTCCAGGCACTTCAGTTTTGAGTGTTACTTTGGCAATATAAATTTTTGAAGTATTTATCTTTACTCTCCCAATTTGGAATATGTATTTGCCTGAAATGAATTTTAGTTAGAGTAATATTTGTCTTATTTACAGATGTGTTTTGAATGGTTTACAAAAGGGCAGCATGATCTCGAGAGTGATGTTCAGCAGCAGCTCTTCAAGGAGAAAATTCTTAAATTGGAGTCATATGAAATCACTATGAATGGTAGGGAAAACTTAAAATCATTTTTTTCAGTACTTTTAAGTATGAAATTTTATTCTTTTTCCTCTAATCCTACTTCTCAGAAGCAACTAAACAGTTTGGAATATCCTTTTTAGAATTTTCCTTTTATATAGTGACATATTTAGATATATACAAATAAATTTCTTTTTATGTAAGTGGTGTCTTATGATTAATTTTTTTTTTTTTCCATTTTGTCTTTTTTCATGTCCGGCAACGGATCGCAACCCTCAGTGTCGCGCCCGTACCGGAC